CATATACAGCGCTAGAAGTGCCGATCCTCGATTTTTATCAATATTGTTATTGCTATTATTCCTTTTTAGAAAGAGCGCGGAGAGACATGTCTTGTAATCCGACGTTTTGTCGTTTGTCGAAATTGAGAAGAAATCTTAATCCTTATATCTCGCGACACTAAAGGATTATCCGACAAATTAAAATCTCTCTTTCAAAGAGCAGTTGTCTCCGACGTGAGCGTATTAGCGTTGGTCTCAGTTGAGAAAGAAATTGCATCGAAGCGCATTGTTCATAACCTGTTATCAATAATAACAAAAGACAAGTATTGACGAACGACAAGGCTGCATTCGTTTAAAACTCCTCTTAAAATTATTGACATAAATGTATTTGGCATAAACACAGCGCGCCATCACGTAGGCTTAAGCGACGGATGTTTTACTGACCCGGGTGGGCAGATTCAATTTTCACTCATTGGAAGCAGGTGGCGGCTGCAGGTGAATTGTGTCACGTGACTTCGTGTCTTTCCATGATGGCGGACGCGGCGACGAAAACCCGTTCGTTTTTCCGCGCTGTGTCCGCCATCTTGGAGAGACCAATGGGATGGGGTTGCTCGCAACAGAAATGAGTTTTGCTGTTTTGCTCTTCGTGTTTCTCTCCTTCATAAATACGCTGCTCATTGGCCTGGGATTCATCGTAACCGTTTCATGAAAGAACGAGCAAATTTATTTTCCAGCCACATGCATCTACTGGCTAGCCCCCAGGTTCTCACTGACATACGCAGTTTTTGCAAAGCCTCGTTTCCATTCACTTAGCAACGTTCTGGTAAGTTGCTCAGAGCAGGAAGTTATTAAAAGGATGATCCATGCTACAAGAAGCAATTCTCGAAAAAGTCGGGGAAAAAAACAGAGAGAAAAAGAAAACACTATGAACAGTGACAGTGTTGCATTTGCCGACGCTAAATTAATTTGTGCATTAACGAGGATCTATCTTACACGAGGTGTAATCCATATACAAGAGTCAAAACTCTTGTCCAAACTGCGATAAAATAAAGTTTACTTCCTGAAAAAATGGCGGTCAAATCAAGTTGAATATTTCAAGGTACTTGACGAGATCGCACTACTATCATTGAAAACTCTAAAAAACAAAGCTAAACTCATCATTTAAGGTTATTTTAGCGTACACTACAGCGGCGAGCAAAAGCAAAAAAGATTATATATATTTATTTTCTACGACAAAACATATTTTAACTCTAGCACGTACTGACATGCATCATTCTACTGACGCGAATAAAAATAGTTTTTTATTGTTCTATGGAAGACAATTATATTTCAAAAGCATGATAGTCTGTTAGTTGTTATGTTTTTTGTGTCTGTGTTTGCTAATAATAAATGTTTCAAAGGGAAACGATAGCCTCGGCAGGCGCTTGGCTAGAGTGATTAGTTCTGAAACTGATCCTCTTTCTAAAAATAATCCATTTGATAGCATTTGTAGCCAATATACTCCAGGACCTATTTCAGGAGATCGAGAACATTCTCTGTAAGTGTTAAAATACATATGTGTAATTTGAACGATGAATAATTTATTTTACTTAAAAACAGTTATTTTTCTTATTTTTTTTTAATTTGATCACGCACAATTATGAATACAAGATACGAATCTTATAATCATGTTCTCTGCGTATTGCGTGGTATATTTTTATCGGAATTTTAAGGTAACTTGCAGCTTGTTAAGAACAGACTAAACTAACCTCTTATGCTCCGCTGTTTTTCGCTCCTCTTTTTGTAAGTACGTCCCTTTATAGTTTATTTTTCATTTTCGTGCATTTGGGATCAAGATTTTTGCATCAAAATATATGCATCGTTTCAGACGTTTGTGCATCTTCACAGTATTCGTCGTATTATTCTCATGTTTAGGTTCGATAAATAGACCAATTCCAATATATTAAAATTCAGCCTAACACAATAGACCTCAGCACGAGGCTCTGGGGAATAAACCTCACAAACTCTGTAGTTATTTCCCAGAGCCTCGTACTGTTTTAAGCTGAATTTTGATATATCGAGATTGGTCTATTGGATAAATAGTTTGAGTATCAATTATCAATAATGTATTGGGATGGTATTCGATCCAGGCCCTCTCACCTGCACATGTGGTGCTCTGGTTGCATCCTTTTCCCCCAGTTCCCTCTCCTCACTCACCTATATCCTGGATTCACATCCTCAAACATCCAACTTCTAGGTAGTCCTGGGGCTTAGTAACGATCTCTGGCGCTGTGTATTAGTTCTGACTCCCTAAAAATAAATAAATAAATAAATAAATAAATAAATACATTGCCATTCAAACAATAAAAGAAAACAAAGTAATTACACACACCACGCAACTAAGCGACAAATTGCTAGGCAATATGCATGAACATTTTTGACACTTTCCGATATTTATACATCCAATATCGCTTCAATCGTTTTTAACCAAGTGTCACGCATCAGCAACGACTTTTTAGTCTACCAATATGCTAATTGTCCTGGCGAAGGCAACAATTTTGCTCACGTGGGCAGCTCAAGCGGTTTTACACGCAATTTCATCCTCCACGAAAACAACCACGCAACGCGCGTGGTAACTTTGTCCGAGGAAGAACTGGGTACCTTCTAGCATGCATGATTTTGTTACCAACGGGGGTAAACAGTTCTATGGCTCCTCCAAAATTGCTCTTATGACCGGTTGATAGAGAAAAAAAAAGACTACCCTGTGCCCCTGGGTCACCCATGTGATACAAACTCAGGACTGTAGGTGGACGTATTCGACTCGTAATTTCCGCCAGTCAAAAGAAACATTAATTGAGTGATAATACACAATTTTATGCAACCTCTGACCCAAAGCTCCATGTTTCCTTTGAGTAATTCATTGAGCAAGAAAAGAAAGGTTTGCGAGGAGTACATTTGTCCAAGGGCACAAACAAATCCCTCGCACGAAGATTGAAAAACGGAGTTACATCTCTCGTTTGATACTGCACTTTTGTTTTCAACGTAAAAGCAAATGTATTGTTAGTGATGAAATTCATATTGCGCGTGATTGAGATTAGAAAGGGATTGAAGTGGGTGACTTCTCATTTGTTTTAAGGAGTTATCTAAACGCGTTTTCCTGATATTAGAGCTTAATTGAAGTTGGAAGTGATTGAAGTTGTTACAGGCAATTTTGATTTTGTTACAAATTTAAAACTGACTCAATACCAATTATCTGTCAGCATAATGACGTCACAACAGGCTTTTTTGTTCAGTGGAAAAGTGAGTTGTAAAGCGTTGACCTCCTGGTGAAGGCCGCTTCCTTCTCACGAGGTCATTTAAGTCAATTTATTATCTTCTGCTATGCACTCTTTGATTGGCTGTGATGAGCATTGAATAAACCCAGAACAATACCCTGACTTTTAAGAGCAATGAACAGGCGTTACTCAAGAACGATGAATAAACATAGAGTTTGTGAGAGGAGCTAATTCAAAAACTGTCAGAATACAATTCTGGATGCAATTTTCTTTACCGTGAGTACCTTTATTTACTACTAGATTTTAGCACTGATAAACGGGGCAAAATAAGTCATTTATGAATCGGAAGGAGGTTATTTTCGGGGATGCTATTAGTCAGCACCATTTTAGATTTAAGCGTACTGTAGATAGAGTCAAATTGAACAGCTGCCATGGCTTAATATGAACATCTTTCTTAAACGAACAAGGTTTTCAAAATGCGAGTTGAAATCTCTATTCAGCTAGTACAGTACTTCTCATGCAAGTCGTCATTTCCTTCCTTAATATTTAGACGCTAAATTCCACAGTTCTTCTTCGATACAATGCACGTGACTTGCGATCACTATGGTACCGGTGTTGTGCAAATTAAAAGAGGTATTTTAGTAAAGAGGAAGCTGAATTGACACCTCGTTATTCGAGAAAAGGTTTCTTTGATATCGTGTACAAAAGACCAATAGAACATCTGCGAAACGAAAACACAATTCAAACTATCTGCCACTTTTTCAAGTTGCACATTTTTCAATCAACCTAAACGAAGAGAAAATACCCATCAACCAAGCAGAAAAAACTATCAGCTAATTCTATCAGCTTTCTACAAACAGCATTCTTAATAGTTCTATATTTTTGACGCTTTTTTAACTTTGCAACAGTCGGATGTCGTTTCAAGTCTGACCAACTTAGACAGGTCAATACGAAATTTGTGGACTGCTGTCACACTCTTGTTTGTCCTGTCGCTCGGTTTTTTGGCTTTTTTACTGATGATCCAAATTGGTTTTGAATAAGTGGAAATAACTCTTCATCAAAGGTAAGGCCTTTTCATTAACCATTTCTTCATAGGAATAGTCGGGCTGCTCATTCAGGTAGTCGTGCAGCCAAACAATTTCATGAGGTAAATTGCGAAGTCTTCTTCGATTTGATTTCGCGCCAAACCGGCCGAAAGCGCCTGTTAATGTCATGTCAGATGATATTTGACCAAGTTACGAAACCAAACCAAAAATACGTTTTGATAATATAGAGAATATCTCATTCTTTCTAAGAACGTTTCAGCATACTAAAAAATAATGAAGAATCAGGAATCAAGAGAAAATCCCATGGTCTCCAAGGGAATATTTTACGAAGATAGTCTCGCCATGTATAGTTAATTAATAGCAAGGGAACAATAGGCCTCTCTCGATACTCCATTGGTAATGTTTCTTAGCTCCGACGGAAGTTTAGGGTAATAAAACAAAAGAAATCACACCAAGACTTAGGGAATTAATCATTTCTGTTGTTTTATTCACCTAAACCTTCATCCCAAGTTAGTGTTTTAACATATTGAAACAGTTTAACTGCCATTTGCAACATCGATAACGTTGACGCCGATATAACAGGACTTCTGACTGGCTGATAACCAGCGGAAACTGTTGTCGCATTAAACCTCTGTTATCTCTTTAAATTAGATATCAAAAAATGTCATCTCTTGTAAAATAATTACAAAGCAATTTAGATGGCATCAAAATATTACACCTTTACAGCATGTTCTACAAAACAAAACAACAAAACAAAATAATTAAACTTGTGTACACTACTTGACGAAAACAATTCAATACAGATTGGAATTGCGTGAGAGAACTGTCGTAAAGCGACAGCAAGGAAGCGAGAATATTCCCTATCTTGTGTGTAAACTGTTTAGCTGAATATCCGAATTCGACCTGACAAAGGACAAGTTTGATGTCAATCACTTTTGGAAATTTGAAGGTTAAATCTTTCATGTTATAGTTTCTTTGAATTGCGAGGAATTAGTCGAGACCCGTTCTATTTGGATTCCACTTTTGTTTTAGAATTGCTTGCCGGTCCGCAAATACTTAACTTACCTTTTTTCCCTGCAGAGCCACCACTTCAGTGGTACAATGAGGAAGATTTACCAAGGCTTTTGGCTCATCTTGTTTGTTCTCTTCACATTAAATGGTTAGTATGCTACTTGTATTAAATGAATTGCTTCTTATGTAATTCGTTTCGGTGGCAAAGGCTTGTGCTAACCCGAGGAATATTCATAGTATGTTACGAGGGAGCATTTCACGGTTATTTCATCCTGTGCTTGTTTAACTTAGTTAAACGGCATAAAATAGTACAGGGGAAAAACTGCCGAATTTGCAATGACCATTTTGGTTTTGCCTTCTTATTGTCTACTTTTTCCATAAAACAAAATTGAAAGACGAATCTCAATATTACCATTGTTACCGACTCACTGAAAGACACTAACTGAATCACCGTCCGACCGATCGACCGACTATCGACAGACTGACCGACCGACTGATCGAGCGACTATCGAGCGACCGACTAACAGACCGACTGAACGACCGACTGACCGATCGACCGACCGATCGACCGACTGACCGAGAGACTGACCGACCCAGACTAATCGACCGACTGCCCCTCGCCTTACCGACCGACTTAAAATGCTTCTCTCGATTTATTTTTCAGAGACAGCAAATTCCAACTTCGGGAGGTTTAGGGCTTTGTGCTCCAGTGACGAGCAATGTCAAAATGGAGGACTCTGCTTACATAACAGTTGTGTTTGTGACTACGGTTATACAGGCTCAAACTGCGAAGCCAAACTTCAATGTAATGATTCTAATTGTGTTAACAATGGTAAATGCGAGTTGGACCTACAGACTAATAAAACATTCTGTAGCTGTAACCAGCACACAGTAAGTGACGGTAGATTCGAAGGAGTTTTCTGCGAGAAAAAGGTTCCTTGTCACGCGCTTGGTTCCTGCTTGAATGGCGGTTTGTGCCAAAGAGATCCTTACGTGACGGATCAATTTTTTTGTGAATGTCGTGACGGCTTTATTGGACCCGTCTGCGAAGAAAGAACGTCTTGCCGTAAAAATTATCCATATAAGTGTCGTCACGGTGGAGTGTGTGACTCCAAAATTTGCTCATGTGTCGGCGGATACACTGGCTATTTTTGTGGGCTGCAAGTCACACCAGGTACGTCACGCACTACTGAAGACTGCCTCTCTGTCGCTATAGGGAGCGATGGAAAAAGAGAGCCTGGGAATCAGATTCCCTAATTGATATTTTTCTTCTCCAATCTCCTTGTCAACTGGAAGACTGGCCCCTATATCTGCACTCCTTCCACCCCCGGAGACCATCAACCATTACTATCACCCAACTAGTGGACTAATGCAAATCCTGCATTTTGATTGGCAACGCTACCAGGGGACTATTGGTAATAGTCATTGAGTAGCGAAATTGGCGCCATCGAGCGTGACGCTTTCTTTCGTTTTATTCCCAAATAAATATTTCTTCAACTTGCATTTGCTAACTTTATTATTGTCTTTTCTGTCCGACTAGTTGGGTGATACTAAAACAATTAGACCCTTCGCCCTCAAGGGCTACGGGTCTAATTGTTAATTAGTCGAACAAAGCCTTCCACAGATTCTTTTTAAACTAACCTAAATGATAGTAAAACAAAACGATCGATTGTTAACTAATGTCAATTACCTCTATCAGAGGCGCTTGCAGGGAATCATGGTAGTTGTATTCATCAACACAAATATCCTGTCCAAGATGATAAATACAACTACCATGATTCCCTGCAGGCGTGTCTCACAAAGGGAACTGGGAATTGAGCTGATAAATCTCTGTTTACAAAATGCAGGTACACTGCAAATCATGACCACGCAGTACAGATTGTTGTGTTAGAAAATGCATCACGCTTATATACTTCAATTTATATTTCTGAAAGTGAAGTCAGTTATATAACACGATTTTTGTGTGGTTTATCTACAGCGCTGAATTCTTCTGCAGACTTTTATTGGGCTTTCAACCGTCAAAGCTCGGCTTTTAAAGGTAAGTACGCACTTAATTTTAAGTCACATAGCAACAGAACCACTGTGAGAACTGAAATAAAACTCTTTGCAAAGAAAGCAAGAGTCTTCAGCTCAGAAGATGTTTGTATTTTTGAAAAAAAAGAGTTAATGTAGTTATGTAACACAGACCTGTTCGCTAGAATATAAGAATGGCAAGCCATTTGACTATCATCTTCCCCGGTCAATTTTTGTAAAGATCAAAGGTTCTCTTCATTGTGTTCTTATTTGTATTTTTTCGCCTGCTGTTATATTTTTTGCTATATCCTTAGGTGCAGCCAAAGTGGTTAGAAATCCCCAGATGGGCAATGTTCTCAGTCTACTGCGAACAGGAGGGGGCTGGGCCAACCTAGGTTAGTATCTTAGACAGTCGAACCTGCCAACAGAATACACAACGATTTCTAAGACATTGCTGTCAGCGAAATTTATCACTTGACGACTGGTTGGCGAGTCGACTAGGTAACTTGGATAATAATATCCGGAACCCTCCGAATACCGTAAAAGCAGAATATTTTGTAAAAACAAAAAAACAAAAACAAAAACAAACAAGACGAAACACTGTCTGAAGCTCGACGCTTTTACAAAAACTACCAAAAGAAAAATTGTTTCTTAATTACTATCCGTAGTTTCACGTACGGTACAAAATGAAAAAAAGCCGTTTTATGTTCACTTTCTCGGGATGTACCACATGATGTGCATGGCTTGTCACCGTAAAAGTTCTTTTAAGTCGGGAACTGCACACAGTGTTACAAATGCTTATTTCCTATTCCAGGACAGTTCAGCAACCGTTGTCTCGAAGACTTTAACAACTGCCAGCAAGGAATTTCAATATCTTTTTGGCTTCAGCTCATCGACGGCCTTTACATCGTGGCTATCACAAATGCAAACAACACCATACTTTCAGTGCAAGTCAAGGACCACAGAAATCTTCTTATCCAGCTCACGGCCGGTTCCAGTCGTTGGCAAATAAAACGAAGTTGTTTTCCTGTAGGTTGGTTTTTCCTGACGATCACCTGGAACCACACAAGTAAGTAAATTACAAAGCGAAACAACGACTGGCTTGCGGTTGCAAGTTTGAAAAAATCTATTTTGTTCTGTATGTGCGCCAAATCTCTCTGAATCATTTTTGACTAACATTGTCAACTCAAATCAATCGTGACACGTTCGCCGAGTCCGTTGATAGCTTGAACATGACCTAAATTTCAGCTGTAAACTAAGAATTGATTATCTCTGGGTAGACCACCATTTAGACATTGTTTTAAATAAACACAATTCCTGGACCCAGAAATAAAGTTTTGTATCTTTTGTATATTTTGATAAAAAGACAGCAAACTTTCTGCATAGGAAAGTCATTCGCAGCCCGCAATGCCCCGCCGGAGTGAAATGAAAATACCAATTCCCTATGTTGTCTGCTCTAGATATATTGTATTACGAAAACGGCCAGCTCTTGTTCAAGTCTCCACCACCAGCCCAAGTGAACTATTCCTCATCTGATGACTCAAGTCTGTTGTCTGTTGGTGGACTCAAGGGAAAGGGAGGGTTTTCCACTATGAGGATGAGCTCGCTCGCCTTGTGGACTCGAGTGCTTTCAAGAAATGAAGTTATGGACAGCTACTTGAAAAGTAAGTAAATTAACAGGGAAATTAGTTTCCTTACACGGCTGAACACTAAAAAGAAAGCTTACTTGTGAACAACTGAACATCACTCAGTCTTTGTTAAATTGAACATGAATAGCACTAAAGAGAGGGTCGATAGTGTTTATTGTATGCTTGTACAAGGTGTCACTAACTTTCAAGTCTGTGGATAAAACCCGAGTGTGTGACCATTCAAATGAAAGCTATTGAGCAGTATTTTCATGTGGTAGTGTTTATTATGCTGTACAAGGTGGTTCCAACTTTTCAAGTCTGTGGATGAAACCCTAGTGTGTGACCATTCAAATGAAAGCTATTGAGCAGTATGTTCATGCAGTACTGTATATTATATTGTACAAGGTGGTTCTAGCTTTAACGGTTGTGGACCAAACCCTAGTGAGTGACCATTCAAACGAAAGCTACTCGGCAGTCTCGGTGTCACGGATCAAATCTTAATGTGTGGCCATTTAAACGAAAGCTGTTGAGCAACACCTTCAAGTTGTTTTGTTTATTATGCCAAGCAAGTGGTTTAAACGTTTGAAACACGCAAGTGTGGGTGACTATTCCAATTTTATGGAAGCTGTTGAGTAGTAATTTTGTAGTAGTATCTTTTCAAGCGGTGTTGTTTGCGTTTCGATTTTTATTGTAAGTTACATTTGGTGTTCTCTGGTTTTAAGTGAAAATGGTATCACGTCAGGGTTTGAATTTTATTGCCGCCATTCTTCCAGAATTTTCATCACCCATTACAAGCCGCTGCCTCTCAAATCCCTGTCCGTCAGACCAGTGGTGTGAGGATGACAGCAGTGGCTCAAGCAACTTCACTTGCAATGAGCCTGCAGGTTTCTACTGCAGTTTTGACAGCGGCTATTGCCAGTGGCAAAATGCGTCGAGCAATAATCAGCACTGGATGAGATTCAGCGAATATGGCTCGTTACGTCATGACCACACAAATAACTCGTGCGCAGGTAAACGTCTTTTTTCAAATTAAATGTAGTTTGATTTTCGAATGTGCAAGTGTAACTCACTCAGTAAGGTAATGGTAAAGTCTGCATACGAGCCAAGTGGCCCATCAGGCCGGAGTTTATCCCGGTTTCTGTAGCATGAAGCGACTAGGAGTATTTCTACTCCCCCCTGGATGGGATGCTAGTCCATTGCAGGGTTATCCCCAAGCATTAACTTCGCCGGTACCCATTTATACATCCGGGTGGAGAGAGGCACTGTGAAAGTGAAGTGTCTTGCCTAAGGACACAACACAATGTCTCCGGCCAGGGCTCGAACCGGGACCGCTCGATCCGGAGGCGAGAGCACTAACCATGAGGCCACTCATTGATAGATCATTATCGTCGCCATCATCATCATCTTAAACCATGTTAGTGCTAATTGACAACTTGACAAAACCCTTGAACTCATTACTTTTTCTTCTTCAGGCTCCGGAAAATTTCTTGGCTTTATTTCTCAAGGTGTGGCCCCAGGAAGCAAGCTTAGCAGTGGCATAATCAGTCGACCATTTCCAAGCCCGAGCGTCCCTGGACATAAAGTCCTACTATCTATGTGGTACTACGTGGAGGGATGGACGAGGAATAAACTGTATTTTGTTATTCAGAGCTCTACTG